TTTTGTTGATTCTGGCTTGTTGATTTTCCCATGTTGTCACAAAAAGAAGCAGTGGGTTTAAGGTTTTCTTATATACTATTCTACAGTTGTGCCTCCAATTAACTTAAATGTTGTCAATTAGCCAATCAGAAACTTCCAAAACCTTGACACCATCATCTGAGCTTTTTCAGAGACATATAATCTTACTGTATGTAAACTTGACATTCAAGAAAAGTTATAACAATTTCTCAAATAATATCTTTCTAATTTTTCTGCTATTAGGCATATCAGAAACAAATTTGATAATCCCAACTTAGCTAAAAGAAACAATGTTTAGTCACATTAACATCTGACTTTTTTTAAATGGTTATGTGCCTTTTATATAGTGTATAAAAATTTCTAGTTTCAACTGTATGTAACATTATTCTCTAAAATCTGCATCTTTTTTCAGGGTTCATACCTAAATAAAGATATGGGAACATTAAAATACTTAGTATTTGTAAAGTCCTCATTTGTGTCCATAATTAGCTTAAGTTGACTACCTTACAGTGAACAAGCACAATTTTTGAATGATAAATGTGACACAATGAGCCATATCGAACAAAACATGGGCCTTAAAGTGAACTGAAAGTTCCTGAGGCTTTTATTTCAGTATGTTAATGTACTTCCAGTTATAACTGAAACGGGATATTAAGTAGGGGGCGGGGCTTTCTATTTGAGCATCATTCCCTCAAAGCAAACTAACGGTAAGAAGGGCGTGGTTAAGAATATTGTGATGTCACAAACTGACATCAACAGAAAAGAACTGACACTCCATACACAGAAGCAAATGGTCAACACTTTGATGAAGATAATTTTTTTCAGTTGATTAACTTGCACAGATGAATTGTTCATCTAAAGAACAACAATGTGCGCTAGCAAAATAAAAAAGCTCCTAAAACTCCTTTCAGACAGTGGACTCACACTGACCTAGATCTATCTATCGATAGCTTCTCTGGGCTTAGTGCAAACACACACATAAACATACTCACAACCAACAATGCCCAAGTCACTCAGGTGCAATGCACAGCCAGAACACACAGCCTGTTGTTGTGTTATCAAGCAAGTGCACCAACCACGATGACAATGCCACACCAGTAATCATTTCTTTTTTTCTTGGATTACTGCTTTCTGAGGTCACATCCTGAGTGGGTCTACGCCTACTGGCATCTGTGTGGTGCTCACTGGATCAAAGGTCAATTTGTTTTCTCTCTCTCTCTGCTGCTGTGGCCTCATTTGTCACAGTCCCTTGAATCCCATAATTCCGGATATCAGAGCAGACGGCTTACCGCTGATACAGTAAGCAGAATGGGTTAAAAGGTCAACACAAAACAAGGGATGAACATTCTGTCATCTAACAAATCACAAATGAAAACAAACATCTAAAAGAGAGGGGGTTTCATTAACAGCAGAAGAGTCATACAGTCATTAACAGAGGATTTCATCTTGGGTTTAAGGCGACAAAGGGTTTCACGCATAAAAGCAACTCATGTGTTTTTCTCTCTCTTTTTATAACATATATTAGAATATGTACAGTGCTCAGCATATATGAGCACACCCCCCCACAAATCTCTCATTTAAATAAATATTTTCTGCAGGATGCTTTACAATCATATATTTGTGCATATACATTGGTTTAGTCAGTACTGAAGCCAAGGAGCTTATCTAACTAAATAACTTACAATAATAGTTCAAAAATTAGTGGCTCAAATTTTTTATGTTGGGGAAACATATTAAATAAAATGTTCAAAAATAGCAAAAATCAAGAGAAAAATAGATACATTTTTTAAAATGTAGTTTGTAAGTGTTTTTGCTATATTTTGCTTGAATTTAAACGTATTGTCTTTCTATTTCTAAAGATGTTCTGTGACTAAAATATTATTTTAATAAACATATCTGTTTAATAAATCTGTTTTGTGGAAAAAAAATAAATGTATTTAATATAAATAAAAATAATAAATTAAATAAATAAATAAATAAATAACTTACTGTGACTATAATACATTTGCTCTAGTGCTGCACAATATTGGAAAAATCTGCTTTTGCGATATTTTATTTTTCTGCGATTAAATATTGCGATACGAAACACAGTTTCAGAAAATGGTTTAAAAAGCTCTATTTGATGGTTTTCTGGGTACAGAAAACTGAATAATCACAATGCAAAAAATACTTTACTTACTTTAATTTGTCTTGTTTCTACTCCAAAAAAAAAAAAAAAAAAGACCAAGTAAAAATATTGTTTAATTTTCACCGTGAGAAGAAATAAGTAAAAATTAAGAGTTTCTAGAAAATAATCTGCAAGTGGGGTCCCAGCAAACCATTTTGTGTTTATTAGACATCTAATAGACATCTGAACGTAGACAGCTTGGCTTAAACAAGGCTAAACTTGGGCTGAAAAATAGCCCAAAACTAGACTAGTCATCAAATAGACAGATTAGACAGATTTTATATATGTGGTCATTCATTTCTGTTTATTTAACGACTAATCTAATATTGACCTATTCTTAGATGTAAAAGATTAAATTTTTTTTACTAACAGACGAAATTTAGCCTTGTTTTAGCCAAGATCACTATGTTTAGATGTATAGATTAGATATATTTAGATATATTAGACATCTTTTAAAAACAAAAAATGCTTGCTGGGGTAAATGAAATAATCTTGTTTTGCATAAATCACATATATTCCATGTAAATACAGAGATTTAAAACTATTCTATTATTTATACTATTCTATTATTTAATGGTATAATAATATACTATTATTATACTATTCTGTAGCTCCTGGTAAATTATAATTCAGACTGGACATTGCATATCTTTGCGATGTGACTACTGCGGATGCGCACATTGCAATATCGATGCAGAAACGATATATATTGCAGCTCTAATTTGCACTATAAACTGCAGAAGATAAGGCATACACCACAAATTCAGTCTAACAATCATTTAAATACCAAAACATGCAGGCAAATTTTCAACAAGAATAATTTGATGACTTTAAAAAAACTCTTTTAAGGAGTCCACAAAATACAATATTTTGCCACAATCCTCAAAACTACTAAATCAAACTATTTCATGTTACAAAATTTTCAGTTAAAAATATGTATCATTTTAAAACTATAATTACAACATAATACAATTTTGTATGATCATTACCCTTTTAATACATTTTAAAAGTCAAAATTAATATATTCTTTAATTTTTAAATACAAAATAATTCAAGCTGATGAAACATTATTTCACTCATATTATGAAGTTTTATTGAACCACTAGTTTTTCAGACACTTTGGTTGCAATTATGTTGGCTACGTACAAACTCTTTTAGAATTTCAGTATGACGCTGCAGATTTCCCATATCTGAATATCCTTGATCTAAGCTTGAATGCAATTGCACGTCTTTGCATATTTTTAGTAAAAGACACAGTGGAGTGACATTCTAGGTTAATTAATCACACTTCTGTGTTAATTACCAAAATTGCTGATCCTGAAAATATAACACAAACAAAGCAAACGGCAACAAGTACATGCTAATATTCTGACATCAAAAGTTTTGTAATGGGAAACCCTCAGGAGAACAATATTTAGGATTACAGTCAAATAAACTATGATAACAAACAGCAAAATGCATTCAATGTAAAGAGAAGGCCAAATGATATTTAGATTTTAGTCAACCTTTACGGGTGATCTGTGAATGAGGGAGGCCCATAATCCTCCATGACCCCCCTGCTGAACTCTATGACACTCAAAGCCTCAAATACTGTAAGAAATGACCCGGTCCCCTAGCTCCCTTATCCCGGGCAGGGCTATTTTAAGCCGTGGCCCGCATACAATCCCGCATAAACAAACACATGCTTGTGTAAACAACAAACATAGTAACTGCTACTCTTCATCATATTTTGTCTATCAAAGGTTTATAAAATATTCTGCTGCATGGTTACTTGCAGTTATTACCTTCAAGCTGTAATAGTGCTAAAATAGCTGAAACTGCATGAAAAACAAGATGGGATCGCAAGGGGACTATTAATGGCAGAGCCGAACTAAAAAAATAACACTTTGTTATTACTTGCAAATTCCCTGTTTATTTATAAGCAATCAGCCACACTTTCTGACCATTTTTCAAGATTTATTCATGCCTTTTCTAGATGTTTGTGATGACCGGACAAAATTTTAAAAACAAAAGAAAGCCTTTTATGGAGATCCTGCTTAACAATCTAGGCATAAAAATACTTATTTAAAAAAATGTAACAATCAAAATTCAATTATTCAAGAAATTACACCTTTAAAATGTGTTGAAGTTAAAGTTTAGTGTTAAAATTATTTATTAAATTAATGCCTTAAATACAAATTACAACTGAAATTAAGCCAAATTTATTTAAAAAATAGTAAATTCTTTACAAAAACGTTATTTCTTATTATTTTTTATTAAAAAAACTTTTTTTTTTTTTTACAACTTTCACACAAGTACATTTACACAGCAAGCATGGGTTTTATACAAATGCATGAGGCTTTGTCTGGATAAATTAAGTACATTTACAGTTTATGCCAGCAAAATTTTTGTAGGCAAGTTTTCTCATTTTAAAAAAAACACATACGAATATATAAAGTCTATGCTACACATAATCAATATAACCTACATTTTTAACTTAATAACTGCGATAATACCACTAGGCATGGGCTGTTGTAAGATTCTGACTATGATAACCTTGGATAAAAATATCACAGTTTCACGGTATTGTTATTACTGCTATAAAAATATGTCCTTTTTGAAGTCTGGCTAAAAAACTAAAGATTTTTTCCCCTTTGAACACAATATACTATATTTAGAGGAACATATAAAATATTTTGCCACGGTAAACATGTCAAGCTAAATAATTTAAATGAATTATTGACTTCTGCTGTCTTCATTAGTTTCAAACAACACTATATATAACCACTGCCATGTGGTGTGCTAAAATAATTTTATTTAGCTTTTAAGTACCTACCTGAACCCTCTGAAGCAAGCATATGCATTTCTCCCGGACATCTTCATAAGGACATCTTTTGGAGAGCATCAGGACATGGGCCAGGAGCGCGTTGAGATCACTAGACAGGCTGTCATCCATCGTTGGAGGAGGAGAAGAGCACTGAGGGTCTGGCATTGGCCCGATGGACTCTATCTTCTTGATCACCTCCTGTTGAATGAGCTCCATCGCTGCGTTTCTGGAGCTCGCGTCTCTACTGCTCAAAGCATCCCATCTTCCTGCAGCATCTCTCACGTCCATCACTGTAACAGTCTACTATTCTTCAACTATACACCTAACAGCCTGAGCCATGAGAGAGAGAAAAAAGTCAATTATTTGTATAGTATATTATTTGTATAGCAGATTTCCTGCAGCAAGCTGGGAAAGGAATTCTGCAAATCCCTCAAAAAAATGTCTTAAGCAGGGAAGGCATTATAAGCATTGTGTGTTTATATGAGCTTAAAACTAAACAAAAGTTGTCTGTTTTTTTCAGTGTTATGTTGTTTAAACAGAAGGAATGACAATTTCAAGCGCCGAGTAAAACAATTCCCCCTAGTCTCCTTTAAAAACTCGTTATTTTAACAAAGAAACACTGAATATCATAGCATACAGTAACGTTACACACATTGTAAAGAAAACCGTTGAAAGGCGTTTAATCAAGTTTTGGTATTGGACAACTATCCCACAACAGACTACACAATTAAAAAAGAACTGGCATGGTGAGTATTTAATAAGCATATGCCATTTAAAGAATTAATATGCAAAACGTGTCAGGAAAAAATTACTTACTATATTCACATTCTCTCTAGTCGTCCCCGCAGCCGTTGAATGAGACCTTCCAGCGCTCCTTCTCAGTCGTTTTCAGCCTTTTGCACAGCGGCTTGAGTTAGCAGTTGATTGACAGGAGGGTCTGCCCAATAATGTTATAGGAAGGAAGGAATAGGCGGAGATAAACTCAGAACGCACCAATAAACGATTAGAAAGGAGTTCCTTTCAAGCCGCGCCTCCCAATACTTATAAACAGGGAATTGTAGTCCAAAAATGCTTTAATGTCAATGTTATCTAGGCGACGCAAATACAATTGAACTACAACTACCAACGTTCATAGGAAAACGTTGGTAACTGCAGGGGCCCCGCCACCACTTGTTTATCTCAAAACCCTTATGATTAATGCAAAGCTTTCACCAGATATTTATCTATCTTATTCAATGAAAATATGTGAGCTATATATAATATCTAAAAACAGAATAGATATACACCTATGTCGCTGCATTGCACATCTTACTGTTTTGCAAATATGAGCTTTGCACTATTCTTTGTTGATTTCATTTGTGTTATTGTATGAAAGCATCATATTGTATTATTGTGTGAAACAATTAGATAACAATAACATCTATCTATCTATCTATCTATCTATCTATCTATCTATCTATCTATCTATCTATCTATCTATCTATCTATCTATCTATCTATCTATCTATCTATCTATCTATCTATCTGTCTGTCTGTCTGTCTGTCTGTCTGTCTGTCTGTCTGTCTGTCTGTCTGTCTGTCTGTCTGTCTGTCTGCCTGCCTGCCTGCCTGCCTGCCTGCCTGTCTGTCTGTCTGTCTTTCTGTCTGTCTGTCTGTCTGTCTGTCTGTCAATCCAGTTTTTTTCAATTTATAAAAATTTGATACAAATTTTATAGATTTTTTAGGTACACATGACATGATTTTTTCCTATTTTTTTCAATAGGCATACTCTTTCAATAATATATATTACAATGTCATTTTTTGTTGAAAAAAAAACATGCACACAAAGGCAAAAATCTAAATTACTGCAGAAAGACAAACACAGAAAACAAGGGATATAAACAGTGCTTGACAAGCTTATGACAACTGGGATATGCACATGAACTTTTAATTTCAGACAGCCAGTCTCTGTGCCTCCAGTGAACTGTCTTTCCATTATAAAATTGCCACGTTTAAGGTATTTTTTTTTTCTTTTAATCAGTGATCTTCAATGCCTGATAGATATGATATGAAATGGGTCTCAGACCGGACAAGAAGCACTGCATTAAATTAAATTTTCCCCCGTCATGGCTTTAAAATATGACAGTTTATTTTACCCTAGTATTTTCAACAGAGTTTCTGTGCTAGCCTTCTGCTCCTGACGGTGCTAGCTGTTAAAGGGTCTTTCATTTTATTTTACGCTTAAACAACTAAATAAATACTTAAGTCTATTTTAGATTACATTTAAATTACATTACAAAATCGATGCTGTAAAACAGGGGTGCCCAAACGTTTTCTTATGAAGGGCCGAAATCCAAGCTTGATTGAGAGCTGTGGGCCAAAAGTAAAAAAAGCTAACTGTATTACATTAAAGTTGCTATGGGTAATTCCCTAATTTATTTCATTATTTTTACATATAAATAAATAAAAATACTTTAACCCTATTACTAATGCATTCTATTTTTTTTTTTGAAAAGGTATATTATTGTAAAGGTATATTATTTAAAAAAAAACTTATTGCAATAAAACCATTTAAAAAAAAAACTATTTTTAAAACAATGGAGTTCAATGCTGAACAGTCATGCTGAGCCTGCCTTTGCCTTGATTTGATCCTCTAGTTCCCTAATCATTAAGTGACAGTGTTTACTTTTTCTTTTCTTTTTTTTATCTGATGCATTTACAACATTTAATTGAAACATTTAATTTTAGTTAGATTTTTTGTAGCTCAACAATAAAACAAACAAACAAACAAAAGGTAGCATTCAAATATAAATGAGAATTGAATTTTTGTTAAAGGCATTCCCTTTAACCCTTGCTAATAAATTTCCCTCTGGCGGGCCAAATCAAAGGATACAAAGGGCCAACTTTAACCCGCGGGCCCTATAGGTTGTGCATCTCTGCTGTAACAGGAACCTTCTTGTGCAATTGAAAATAGTCACATTAAGCTTTCACTGGAAGTTTATCATTGGCTGAAAAACACTAGCTGTGCATATAACACATTGATAAACCATTTTACATTCAATGGCTTAAACAATGAACTAAGACTACTGTACAGTGCACAGAGTAATACAATATATTTTGAGCAACATTACCTTACCAACTGACAGAGAAATGTAAGCTACATGTCAGATTGAATTACAGTTTTAGATTTTTTTTTACTTTAGTGCATTTTTCACAACACTATTTACACAACAGTTATCATTTGCACAACATTTAATGCATTTCTCAAAACAATTATTCATTTGTGCACATCATAGTATCAGTTTCTCATTCCTTCCAGTAAACTGAGAAATTGCAAATGCTTTTGAACATGCATCAATTGCTTTCACTTGCTTATGTCATGTCAGTCAAAATTAACTAAACTTGTGAATGCTGAATAGTCATTCCATATAAAACTAATAGTCCTCTGTAGTAGGATATTCATTACTTGAGTCATTACATACAAACATTTTAAATTAGTAGTCAAAATCTGTCAATTAGATTTTAAATCTTAATTTTTCCTGAAAATGTCTTCTAAACTGAATAATTTCATGAATGATTTACAGACCTATGTATGTTGTAGGTTCAGTCTAACTTTACAGAAGTTTTCAAATGCTGTCTTGAGCTTTTTCAGCAAGTGTTAGTAAACTGTCATAATGAAAACATGACAAAGCCATTTGACTATCTTGTTCATAAACAATAGTGTCAGGATTTTCATTTTGATAATACTGACATTTTCATTGACATGAATACTTGCTTTTGAGGAAGGAAGGAGCTATCCATTTTGAGCAAGTGACATGCTTTTGCAGGTTATCAACTAGGTTTTGCAGCTTGTACTAATGTTTTGAGAAATGCTTTAACTGTTGTGCAAATGGAAATTTGTGAGAAATGCACCAAAGCGACTGAGAAAAACTGTAATGTGCAAAAAATGCAATCTGTCTGCAGCAAAGAAATTTCTTTTTATGATGTGCACAATAGAAAATGCACCAAAATTACTTAAAAAACCAATGGGAATTGTATTGGTTTTAATGGAAAATCTATGTAGGTACAGTAGCATGCTAAAACCACTAAATTCTAATGGTGCCAAAACACAAATTAAACCATAAAATGTTCTTTTTTAAATGGTTAAAACATATTGCTTTATTAGAAACTATTATAACTTATATAGGTTTCTTTTTTTATTTTAGTATCCAGCTGAATGTCTGCATGAGCAAGGGCGGTAAAAGAAGAGGGAAATTTGAAACTGGGGGCGGCGCTGTGGGCTACTCAAGATGACACTCACAGCTAATTCATCTGCATGATGAACAATCGTGAACAACACATCATTTATTCGTAAATAACGAGGAAACCTATTGAAAATGGATCACTTTAGAGATCAGGTAGCTATATACTTAATGCTACGTTGGCATATTTTGAAGTTGTAAATACTGTTAGCGATGTTTAAACGGATATTTCAGTCGTTAGCTTTTTAAAGTTAGCTTATTTACACATTGCATCCTGAAAAGGCAGTTTTTGGTTCGTAACGTTTTTATGTAGCCTATCATGCAGCTTTCTTGGTGTTAAGTGACATAGCTATTTAATTGATGAACCATGAAATTTTCTAAGTTGACTATTTGCTACTGTTTATTCAGTAAGTTAGCGTGGCTAAAGGTTTTAGCTATTGTGCGTTAATTTACATTAAATGTGAACAGTGGCTCTTGTCTATCCATTTAGGCTAATTGTATTCTTTAACAAACTTTTTACTCTTAACTTTGTCACGGAAAGAATATGATTTATATATATGTTTAATTATTGTTTTGTTTTATACATGTTGTTATTATTATAGTTATTATTAATCGTACAACAGTATTATCATTGTCCTTCCTCCATGCATGCCATGTTGAATAATCTGTAAACTAACTTTTTTTTTTTTTTGTGAATTACAGAGTTTTAATCTAGACTCCCCATCTAAACAGAGTTATGTTGGCAGTTTTTATCAGCCACCAGAGAAAATGTCAAGACCTTTGTATATGAACCCAGACACACATCCGCTCAACAGAAAGAGCTCAGGTTTGCAGGATATCAGCCCACAGCTTTATCAGACAGTTCCTGATGCTGGAAGCAGAGGTGATTTGAGTTTAAAAGTTGACCATACAACTATCTATATACAGTCAGATGTCTCAGTTTTGATTCACAAAGTTCTCACTTAGATTTAATTTCATTTTTTCTCAGTCACTTTGGTACATTTCCCAGATCAGAATTGAAAAAGTTTTAAAACTACCTGTTCAATCTTTAAATCATTGTGTCACTTGTTCACATCAAAAAAGCAATTTTCCTTTGAACAAGTTTTAAGTTTCCTACATTATCAGTTTCTTATATCACAATGATCAAAATGTATTTTTTGGTCTCTGTTGAATTGTCTCACCTCCCACGTTTAATCGTCTGTTCATGGCAAAAGTCTATACATGCAAAATGGCTGAACAAGTTGTCTTATTTTGTCGTAATGCATTTTTCTATACATTTCCATAAAACGTTTTTTCTAAATCTGTCTACAATTAGTACATTTTTACATGTGACTTTTTCGGATGAAGGTGCATCTCAAAGGAGATTGTCCTCTGTTCACATTTATACTTTTAGTTCGTTTTTTCTTTGTGCTATGCAGTGCTGTCCTTTCCTTTATGTATCACAATGACAGGATCTGTCAACAAATTACAGTACAAACAGCAAAAAAAAAACAAAAAAAAAACATTTTTGCCATATTTTACATAAGAACATTGTGTGTGTGCAAAAAAAAGTAAATTATACTGGTTAATCTTGAATTATTAGTTAATCTTAAAGCATTAGATTGGCTATTTATCATAAAAACATTTAGTAGACAGAACCAGGAAACTATATTTACTGTAATGCTTTATATTACAGTAGCCCACTTGAAGTCATCCAGAAAAAGGCATTTTCAACAATTTTTTAAAGCATAAAAATAATTTACACCAGTACAATGTTATACTGACAACATTTTGACTGAGAAATGCAGTATGGATATAGATTTTGGAAGGTAATACAATGTGTGGTGCTTTTTGTAAAGGTTTAATGTTCTTCGACAAACGCACTCGCTGGTTTGCAAATATTAAGAGTGATTTAAGAAATGTACCGAAGTGAATGAAGATAAACTCAGAGACCGTATACAATTTTTTTGTTTGTTTGTTTTCTAAGCAGCAGTGATTGCAGCCCTGAAAACACTGCAGGAGAAGATGCGGCGCTTGGAACTGGAGAGAGTTCATGCAGTAAAGAACGTCCATCACTTCTCTCAACCTACTCGACACCAGGAAGATGTTTCTGCATCAAAGGAGCAAGAGCACAACATGCGGGACAATGACTCAACACAGAGGAAAGGTAACCAAAAGTGTTGCACAGCAGTTACTGATAAATTCTCAAGTTTTTTGTAAAGTTCAATACTTTACAAAATGATCATAATATGTACTACTAGTACTAAGTAGAAAATGTCTTTTCATTTCAGTGCTGGTTTCTAAGCTTCACTCAGCAGAAACGCGCTGCTCTCTCCTGGAAAAACAGCTCAACTACATGAAGAGAATGGTGGAGTGTGCAGAAAAAGACACAGTTACTCACACAGACAGAAAGGTTAGTGAAAGCATAAAGCTAGTAGAGATTTTGGATATTCAAGGAGTTTGAACAAATGTTGCAAATTCCCATTTACAACAAACTGTGCAGAAGCTCAAGAGTTTTTGAATCTTTCTTCAACTGTTATTGGTATTTAGGACTCTTTGCCTACGGAACACACACATGCAGACCCACAAATTCAGGCACAGCTCAATAAGCTTGAAAGACTGGAAAAGGAGTATCTCAGACTCACCAATACACAGTCTGTGGCTGAGGTATACATATAGAAGAGTCATGTGACTGTCGGGACCATATTATTTAATTTATCGTGTAATATTTGTGAAATATATTGATGTACAGAATTAATTTTCATTTGATGTCTTTCATCTACAGAGGAAGATTGAACTCTTAGAACAGAAACTTTTAGAGGAGGAGCATGAACGCAAACTTGTGCAGGAAAAAGCAGAGGAGGTAAAATATATATTTTTTTCATGAAATTAATTATTAGAAATCTTTTATTAAAAAGTGGTTTACAAAATTGATGCAGTTATGTCATTAATTTTTTTTTTTCCTGCCATCAGTTGCAGCGAGAGCTTGAAAATAATATTCTGTCCCTTTCTGCTGCGACTCAACCTAAAGGCAAGAAAAAGAGGAGAGACAAGGCCTCATGCAAGGTACGACTTTGTATGCAGAAATGCATAGTGAGCACTAGGTGGCAGTATGTTTACAGAACAATATTACAGATGAATTGTTTGGTGAGTGGTGTGTACTGTGGTGTGTTTTCTTCTATTTGACCTCAGAAGTCCCCTACAGCAAAGGTGGAGGCAGTCTCTGCTCCGAAGTCTAAACGCCTCCCTTTTGTGGCTGGAACAGTAAGTAACTTCATCATGAAACATCGGAAACTCGTTATGGTTAACAGCGACAAAGTTTGGTTGTTATTTATTATATTTAGTCTAGATATTTAAATCACTGGACCAGAAATAACTTTTCTTTTAATTTTTTTATCATTTAATATATTATTATTTTTCAACATGCATAGAATTAAATTGAAATAATTTTTCTTTTAAGAATTAGTTCCTCCGCGTAACAAGAGTGTTGAAAGTGACAGTACAAACATTTATAATGCTACAAAACACTTAATATTGATTTTATTCTGTTTCTCAAAGGATCCTGAAAAGCACAACATTGGTAAATAATATTAAATTAATAAATAATAAACAATAAAAATGAATAGTAAATCAATATTTAAAACTGTTTATTCATATTTTTAAAAAACAGTATGAGAGGATCAATCTTGTGACACTAAAAAGTCAGTGATGCTGAAAATACAGCTTTGCCACCACAAGAGTAAAGTACATTCATTCATTCATTCAATTTCTTTTTGACTTAGTCCATTTAATATTCAGGGCTCGCCACAGCGAAATGAACCACTAACTTATCCAGCATATGTTATTATGCAGCAGATGCTTTCGCAGCTGCAACCCAGCACTGGGAAACACCCATTCACTCTCATTCACACACATACACTACGGCCAATTTAGCTGTGAGGCGACAGTGCTACCCACTGCGGCACCGTGTCGCCCAAGTAAAGTACATTTCAACATGAACAATAAACAGACCAAATGTTTCAAACATTTAATTGGCATTTAGATTTGAATAAAAAAAGAATAAGAATTCTTTGTTCATATTCACATAAATAAATGTAGTCACTATCATTTTTTATTTAATTTTCCCTCTCTTAGTCAACCAGTCCTAGCCACTCCGTCAATGCTAATGTTCAGAGTGTGTTACACATGATGAAGCACAGGAATCCACGCCTGTGCGAGAGAGTGAGTGCTCTACAGAAGTCAAGCTCTGAAAAGCAACGCACCCATCACAGACCTCCATCCTCCCCCAGCAGATCTGCTTCCACACTGGGCAGCCTCTCTGAACTCCTGCTTGCACTGCAGGATGAACTGGGACAGATGAGCTTGTGAGTAACTCCACCCTGACCATGGACGGCCATATCAAGATTGGCTGTTTAAATGCATTTATGATTAGAATTAGAAGACAGGATTTCATTAATGTTTGTATGTGTTTGTGACAGTGAACACCAGGAGCTGGTCAAGCAGATTGATGAGACCTCTAGACGAGAGCTTCGAGATGATCTGGAACGAGAGCTGGACTGTCTGGTCAAGAGAATGGAAGAGAAAGCGGCTCAGATTTCCAAACTGCGCAAACATCAGCAAACAGTGAGTTTGTGCTTTTTGCTACCCGCTAATCTTTGCATTTGACATGCTGTAGGCAGGGGCAGACCTAGGGATTTGGGGGCTCTAAGCAATTCCAGATATGGGGCCCTAGCATTAAAACTCAAAACACTCTTTTCTGTAGATATTTTTCCTCTGTAGATTAATTTTTTTTATGTAAATAAACTGCATGATAAAATATATATTTAAGTGGAAACTTTATCTTAATGTAAAATTAAATACAACAAATTCACAAATAAAAAAACAAGTTCACAAACTAACTATATGTACAGTTAATTAGCAATATTTGTGGTTAGATTTTAATATTTGCATGTGCAGTAAGAAAGGAACTTTGCACTATTCATGGGGGGCCCCCGGTTTTGAAAAGAAGTTATAACGTTAAAATCTTAATGGTTCTAGACAGATTTTACAACATATGATAGAAATTGTACAAAAGGGCTATATGATTAATATAGGCTTCTTGGCATCGGTCAAGGCCCCCTAATTCCCTGGGGCCCTAAGCAGCTGCTTACCTTGCTTATAGGTTCGCCCCAGCCTGTAGGAATCATTAGATAAGATTCCACAATCTTTAAGATTATTCTTGCGCAAACAAAATATATATTCAATAAAAATTTCGCCAACATATTGCAGAAGTTATAAGGCTTGCGTGAGATCATTTATCAGGCAATTGAAAACAATTATATTTAGCAAAATTGCAATGGAAATTATTTTCATCATTTACAGGTCACATGGCTTACATACAGTACGTCGAAATCATCTACTAATTCTTTAAAAATGACATGGTATGTCGGAACAGGTGAACCAAAGTGTTTTCTATAACTGGTTAAAGACCAAAGCAATTATGGGACTATTAGATCTATCTAAGCAACAGAAACGTGGCACCATTAGCCAACACATGGAAACAGACCTGAAGTAGAATCTCAGTTTGTCTTTCCTTGGCTTTATTTGTTTGTCTCATTGCATATATTTCAGGCACTGCACTAGCCATTACATAAGTAAACTTTCCTATATCTCTAACCATGATTTTTGGAATTGGCAGAAGAATTTTATTCACATAACATTCAGGGTGCTTTCACAGTTGTGATTGATTGGTTCTTACCAGAGTTTGGTTGACCCCTTTCACCCAGCCCCCACTGGACTGTGCTCACACACTATATTTTGGTTCTGATGACATTTGCGTCATCACAGTGCCTGTTGTTGCTAAGTAACAACAGCTTGGGAGGAGACACAAAATGGCTGGATTCTGCTGCTTGTGTGCCTCAAGTTTGAACTTTGAAAATGTGTTTTTGTTTTGCGCCAACGCAAAGACTATTTGTCATAAATGTAAAACTTCAAACGAACAAAAAAAGTCATGTTCTGCTGTTTACAATTTAATTTGGCGTTTTATTATTTTCTTGTTCACAATCACAGAGATTTTAGTGACAGTTTTGGAACTTGTCTGAGTTTATTATGACGGAAGTGAGTAAATGCATAAATATACTGTTTGACCAATTAATAGGTGATTATGGCGGCTCACTTCTGTAAATGGTGTGATTTTTGTTCTGAAGGGAACCGTAACGGAGTTTCCACAAACCACACCCCAGACAACTCTTTTCAGTGGTGGAAGGAGTACTGAAATATCACACTCAAGTAAAGGTAGCATTACTAAAATGTAGTGCAAGTAGAGTAAAAGTATCTTTTGTAAATATTAATTAAAGTATGAGTAAAAAGTAGCCTTATTAAAAGTACTCGAGAGTAGTGATTATTATGCTGCGTTTACATGCAGTTTGTGTGAAAATGTAACATTTTGTAGTGCATTTAGGTATTGTTTTAGGCCATTTGGTCAGTCCTCATATAGTAGACATCATCATCATTTGAACAGTATCTCGGTTATTATGTTTGTGTGTACAGATTTTGTGTCTTTTTGGACACTACTTGTACATTTGCTGCATTTATAAAATGCTCATTTCTTGAGGTTCTTCTGTATGATGCATTTTTTTCTACACACAATTTGATTGGCGGGGAATCACACGACAGATTATTCTAGTCAATAAAATAATATAACGTAAAAAAATTAATTAGTAACTGCAGGTTGAAGGAAAATTGTGGAGTTAAAGTACAGATACGTCACTAAGAACATACTCAAGTGAAAATACACATTTTAAAACTAATTAGTAAAGTAGAATTCTTGAAAAAAAAAAAAACTCAATTACAGTAATTTGAGTATTTGTAATTTGTTAATTTACACCACTGTTCTTTTCAGGCAGCCCATGTGCACACCAAAAGAGCTAGTGTGAATTACCATCGGTTAATGGAGCCATCAAAATAATGCAATAGTTTGTTTATTGTCATTTACAAAATACTGTAAAAATGTGACACAGATTTCTGATGGAAACATGCCTATTGGTGAACATCATAATGTCCTGTGTTTAAATCTATAATGTTTAAATCTATACTCTTTTAGGTCCAGAAACTATCCCAGCCATCCTGTAGCCCTAGACAGAAGCAGCAGAGGCCACAATGGACCACTAGTGTAGACAACAAATCCAGGGCAGAGAGTGGGGTACAACCATTGCCACCATCCCCAGTCAAAGCTTCATCCAGCACGGGAACGAAACAGAGCCGGAGTGGTCAAGGGTCCCTAAAGCTCCTTAAAGAGACCCAAAAATTGTGCTCCAGCCTTCGCAGACAAGACATCAAATGGGAAACATAGGTATATTGTCCAAAAACATGCATACAAGTAAAAGACAATTAAGAAGGGCAGTGGAATGACAGCTTAAATGCAGGATTAGATTTTACACTCAAACGTGTTTTTAATTAATTTAATTTTTTAATGATTTCTGTTCATATTTTTTTGTTTGAATAACACCTTGTAAATAAAATATTTACATGTTTTAAATATGGCTTTTTAGTTATTTGAAATCCAGTTGAAAACATGCAGATCTCGGGTGATTCTTTCAGGATCGATTGTTTCAAATTTAATTATTTAAATTAAAATAATACATTTTAATACTATAAGATATACGGTTGAAGTCATAATTAATAGCCCTCTTGTGATTTACTTATTATTATTTTATTTTTTTTGAATATTTCCAAATAATGTTTAATAGAGCAAGCAATTTTTCTCAATATTTCTTATAATAGTTTTTCTTCTGGAGAAAACAATTTGTTTTATTTTGGCTAGAATAAAAGCTGATTTTTAAAAAACATTTTATGGTCAAAATTATTAGCCCTTTTAAGCGTTTTTTTTTTTTTTTGATTGTCTACAGAACAAACCATCATTATACAATGACTTGCCTAATTAACCTAACATGCCTATTTAAGCCTACAAATGTCACTTTAAGCTAAGTACTAGTATCATGATAAACTATCCAGTAAAATATAATGTTCTGTCATCATGGCAAAGACAAAAGAATTCACTTATTAGAAATTAATTATTAAAACTATTGAACTGTTGAAAAAAATCTCCTTTCCATTAAACTGAAATTGGGGAAAAATATACTGGGGGGGCTAATCTGACTAACTATGTAAAATTTATTTCACACATTCGCTTAAAATATAAACAAGTTTATTAATTTCACACAAAGGTGTGTGAACAGAACACCAGGAAAAGAAAAACAAGTGTTCCTGCACCATCAGTTTTTCTGTGGTTTCTTTCTTATGAGATTTGGTCAGCTGGAACATTGTTTCCCCAACAAAATCACCCCGCTCTTCAACAGTTGATCTTTTTACAACATAGTGGTGGTTTACACCATGAGAAACCATCAAATAAAAAACAAATGTAAACTTATATACTTAAAAAGCTAATTATATGCAAGCTTCCACTTAAATGCTTTAATAACATTTTATATAGATAATAAAATAATGTCCAAGCATTCAGCACAACATGTTTATGCAAATACAAAGCAACATTACTTCTTCTGACTGTATTCAAATATTTTTAAAAAGGGATCATATAACATTGTATTACATTTAAAAACATTAAAAAGGTATTGCCGAGCAGTTCACAAATAGAAAATGATTAAATAATGTAGAAAAAACAAATCATTCTAGTTGTAACCAAGCAGAAAAGGTGGCCTGTGTTTTATTCAGACGGTCTTATTGCATAATGCTGGTTGACACGGTACTGATTAAATCGGCATTATATAAACTCACTTGAATGCAGGAAACATTAACATGCTACAGTATCGTTGAGTCTTGATTATTTCTTTCCTTTAATACATTTTAGAAGTTATCAACTGGTTTTCAGAGTGTCAAGCAAATGCTGTCCTCATAATAATGCATTTCTCTGAAATGATTCACACTGCTTTAGGTCGTCTTTGCAGTATTGTGGTATTGGTGAAGGTACTGAATCGCAACATGTGCATGTGCTCTCTAGAGAAGATATTTGAGCATTTAATGCAAAGTAAGCAGGAATGGAGCTGACCCTGAGGGTGAGTGCATATCCTGTTAAACATTACAGACCGTTTTCTGTTTTCTAGGACACAGTAAAACTGATATAAATTAAACCAGCCAGGGATTGAAAGATGTTTAATGGGAATCCACAATAAAGGGAAAATTTATGATTCTATAAAAGCTCTTTATTTTAATAATACTCATACCTCTTTATTTTTGAAGACAGGGGTTTTATTCTTTCTTTATTTCTATGTTTTTAAATGTTATGTACCTCCAAAAACGAATGTAAATAGTAAAGCGTTTTTGTAGTTTCTTGTGTTTGAAAGGAAAGAAAAAAATATTATAAAGAAAAATGTTTTGTTTCTTTTAAAATACATTATTATATTTCAGTATTATATTTTATACTACATTACTATATTTTATATATTACTATATATACCATTATATCCAAATAACAATATATTTATTCAGTGGAAAAAATATATAAATACATTTTTGCAATATATATGCAGGGGTCTTAATTTTCAGGCCTTAGAAAGTTTTAAATCTACTGAAATGTTGTGCTGTAGGTCTCAAATCTTTTTTTAATAGGTATTAATTGTTTTTGTTCATGTATAGCTACCCAATCTAAAATTTCATTTATAATGGTCTTAAAATATCTTAAAAGGTCTTAAATTTAACTCGAAGTAAAACGTGCAGAAACCCTGATATTAATGATGACATTTTGTTACATATTTTGTATATAATAAGATCTATAACATATATTTAATATTTAAATTCCAAGAACATGAAAAGGCATTCCTTTAAAAAGACAGCAGTAAAAGAAAAAATCATGTTTATCCATAAATAAAGATATAGACAAAGTATATATTTTTACAAATTTTAAATTGTACAATTTAATTGTGCATCAAGGTGACACAAAGTTGCAATTGACTGTGTTTTAACAGTAAAACTGTTTGTCATACAATTCTGAAGAGATAAAGTACACAAAACAACACCCATATTTGTTTTACAATACTCAAACTTTATTTGATCACATTTTCAACCTAATTGTGAATGCAGATCAGAAATGAAGGAAAACACAACAACGAAAGAAAGAATGAAATCTGAGTTCCAGAGAAACAAAACCAACAAAGCAGGGCATAAAACAATTAAGGCAGACTTTCTGGACACAGACGCAAACAGTAGCCATCTTCTCATGAATGAGCATATATGGTGTTTGTGCACAGGTTTATGTGAAGCAATAAAATAAAATGCACTACTGGACATCAGGCCAAAGGTAATGAGAGGGATTTATAAGAGTATTAACTCAACGGTCTCCTTTTGTAATTTGATAACTAAATGTTGGCGCAAGCAAGATAAAATACTCTGTTCCTCTCATCGAAAAACTTCAATAACCCAAACCTTCACTCTAAAACGTCCCTTTGAGTGCAAGTCTTCATAAACTGTAATCTTCATAATCACGACATCTTAAATTAAGGCACTTCTCTTCAAAAAGGTGCAGCAAGGAACGCGACACTAGCTCAGATGACAAACAAAATATGGCATTGTTATGGCTGTTTCTGTGGTGCGCATGAACAAATGCAATAGGATATAAGGAAACAAGGCCACAGACTAAAGTTAGGTTGAGTTCTCTGAGTGCCAGAGGATTTTGAACCATTTAACTTTTTAAAGAATCGTTCACCACAAAAATGACAATTCTATGATCATTTTCTAACCCGCGTATTGTTCTAACCCTGTGACTTTCTTCTGTAAACAAAAATATATCCTCAAAATCAGCATTCTCCATACAATAACAGATGAGTCCATTTACATTGTATTCTTTTAAAGAGATGAGTATGGGAGAGAAAATCATGGCAGAATTTATTTTTGGGTGAACTATCCCTTCAAATCCATCATGTAGCATGGTTTTTACAGCCCTTTGTATGCGCAGTTAACGTCCATTTGCAATTATGTGGGATCTTTGGATGTAGCCTGATTCTATACAGACAATACTGTGTATTTACTGTTTGTTAATAATTACAATGGAAACAACTAAAGTAAACAGCGTTTTAAATTTGGCATAGCTGAAGCTTTAAATGTATAGGAGTAAGCGTTATAGCAGCTTTTCTAGTGACTCGTGCTAAAATAGACACCTTTGGCATTTAAGCACCATGATACGACAATGCGCAAGCGATTAGAGTGGTTCAAGAAAACAAGGCCATAACAGTCATCTTCTGAGAAACATGCAATTAACACAATGCTGGGAATGGAACATGTCAAGGAAGCAGGCGAAATCTACAGCGTGCACCAAACAAATCAACTCGCTTCTGCCCTTACAAAATTTGCAATCCAAATAACGTGAATCACTTCCCAAGCCAACGACATCACGGCTCACAGGGGAAGTTATTAGCAGCAAGCTAATCAAGATTATTACATTTCAAATTTTATATAACACAGGAATGGATGTAAAAAGAAAATACACATGCTAATGTACTAGCCAGACGAATGCACTTATGAAAAGTACCAAATTAAATATGCTGAACAACACAGGAATTAGGCATAGTCTAGCTTCAATTCTGCATTTTAGACAAATCTACCTGAACTCAAAGATTAGATTTCAAGAAATCAAACCCAAGCATTAAATGAAGAGTGCGATAGCTCTATTCTACTCCAAAATCTGACTGTAGCAATACGAAAAAAAAAAAAGACCAAATAAGCAAAAGATATCCAGAATGCACTTTTCTAGGGCACTTTAAAAGATATTTAACATAAACAAAAACTTTAGGATCTGCGTACAGTGTCCTGAAGTACGTTCACCTCAACTTTTTATTCATCTGACATTTTACTTCCTCTCATATAATGATATTATTGAATTCAAAGAGTTCTGATTATGTACAAATAGTTATCTGCTTTAGAATAGGAGTGCTAGAATCTGTGCTAGCAGAAATTAAGCTTTTGGGAAACATGACAATGCATAAACAAATGATTTAATCTTTAATTATCTACTCTGTATAATATAGCGATCAGTCCAGCTGGCAGACACTAGATCTATTTCATTGATACAAGCACGCATGCGTGTCAATCAACACACTGACATTCAGGCAGACACACCAACACAGAGCCGGGCCTCGACGGCGGCTCACCATTCACACTTTTAAGGCTCACTTTTAAGGCAGCAAGCCACTACCTCCACCTAAAGGCACTTTGACTCAATGGTCAATCGTTCTGAATGGGATGCCTGATCCTCTGCCCTACCTGTAGTGCCTCGTTCTCATTCGCATATCTGGCAGAATTGACTAATTCTAATGAAGACTTGTTGTAGAACTGGATTGGCTGAGCTCCTGCAGTTCAAATCCCAAAAGTACAACTTAAAATGGCCGATATTATGGTAGGTTCCTGAAAACGACCCCCAATCATGTCATAGGATGCTAACTAAGGGTATACAAATGCATCTCTGATATTACCCAGCCTATGTGAGGAGGAAGGGGTGAAACACTTAAGTTTATTAGTTGGAAATAAGTAATAGTGATGGACTAAGCTGGAGAATGTAAATCATTTTGGCTGTCTTGATTGGTGTGACAGAGCCATACACAAATTAAACAAAATGCCACACGCTGACAGACACAAACCAAAAGATTTAAAGAGGATGTTATTTTTGCACTTGGATGGAATAAGAAGAATCATTATGGCACCTGCGTAAAAAAACAAAAAAAAAAACTGTTCTGGTGAAAATGTCTGACCATAATCTTAAAATTAACACTGAGAATGCTGTAAAAGATTATGATATTGAGATGCAAATCATTGTTGACATCAAAAATTAAATATTAAACCATTTCCGGACAGGACTTAATTAAGAAAGCTGCTGTTGCGCATGAAAGCAACTGAACACTTTGTATACCCCATAATGCCACTGCTTGATAAGACCTACGGCATTACTCTGTTTCTCTGTTTTAAACTCAAGTGCTTGTGAGAGCTCTAACAGAAACTAAAGAAAGCTCAAATCACAGGCATCGAGTGTCAAACATGAGGCTAAACGAGGGGGACTCGATCTCTTTTCTTTTGGGTCGGAGTGTGTTTGTTTTTTGTGTGTGTGTTGCTGTGTGGTGCCTCCAAGTGGCAGCATGTTACAGGGTGTGGTAGTTGCGGTCCTTGGACTTGCAGAACTTGTATAGGAAAAAGATGACGGCTTGAAGACCAAGTACTAACACTATTCCCCCGATGAAACTGGCGGCGTCAAATGTGGACGTCTTAGATGGAGCAGTAGTGGGCGACGCGGTTGTGGTGGAGTCTGTGGAAAGGCCAAATGTTCAGTCAAACCTCACAGGAAGAAAGAGGTGTATCATTCTATATTGACATTAGAAAAAGTCATACTTACTTGTGTCTGTCCCGTTTCGAGTCGGAGTGACTGGTATGGTTGGGATTACTGTGGTAGCTAAACAGAAAAAAAGTGCTGTTCAGATTCAATCCTGCACTTCAACAGTAAACACAAATGCCAACGCATAACATATTACAGCCTGGCGTTGGTGTATTCCTTATTTTTGTGTGTTTTAAAGTTATGAGACTGGTTTAAAAAAATACATTAGCTAACAAAAACTCAAAAGTTCTCATAGCACAAGTGTGTGTAAGGGGTCTGATTCAGTTTGAATCATATCATGTAGGTCAGTATCATGACTTACATGATATATGGCTCCCATGTATTATTATTCTCAGTTATAGGTTTACATTTTAATGGATTTTATGACTCTTTATTTATATTTTATGGTCAATCAATTTTGTTTTTAATGTGCTATGTTAATAAAATTGGCATTGGGTTTGGAATTAGGTAGGTATGCATTCTGTTGTGTATATGAATGCTGCTGAGGAAAGTGTAGAAAGCCGTACCATTGGTGGTAGCATTCGTGCTGCTAGTAGTAACGGGGTTCACTGTTGAGGCAACTGGTGGCTCTGCAGTTCAGAGAAAATCCAAAGATTAAACAGTCATCATCCAAACATACAACTTGTTAATTTGTTAATGTCCCAATTGTTTAATTTCTGACAATTTATTTATTCACTTGCTATTTTTTTTAAATGTCATGTCAGGATTAAGACTATTTTTATAGAAAGAAGGTAAAAAAAAAAAAAAATATATATATATATATATATATACACACACACACACACACACACACACACACACACACACACACACACACACACACACACACACACACACACACACACACACACACACACACATTTTACAAGACATCGAGACAACATGTTTCTTTTACTAAGGTGGCTTCATCTTTCTCAGTTGAATAAACCATGCTCTTATCTACTTCAAAAAATAAAGCGTGAGATTGTGACAGAATTTACCTGTGCAGTTCGCACTGACGCAGTTGGCTGTTTGGTTCTCATGACTGCTGTTCACACACTGAAAACCATCTGAAAAACAAATGATATATTCTAAGAAAAGAAAAATATTGGACTGAGCTGTACTTCTAGAGGACATTCTTCAAAAAATGGCTTTAATGATTTGTTTGCTGGCACAAATAATCCACATTGTAAATAAGGTCAAGGGGGAAAAAAATCTCTGAAACCCAAGTTACTTATTAACTTCTAAAAACAATTTAAAAATGGTTAAACAGTGTATTGCTTAATTCAACACTTGGAATATAACATAGCAATGCTATAGCACATGTTCCTTGATCAACCCTACATACATAAGGTCACAAACACTCCCATGACATAAAAAGGTTATTGGCCCAGCAACAAGAGGAGGAACTAGCTTTGTCGTACAGTACTGCGATAAGAAAAAGATAAGGAGAGACAGAGAGCAGGAAGTATCAAGAGAGATTTTCCTGAAACCCCTGTGTCACGATCAGCTGGTTTCCATTTAGAGTATCCTCCTCAGTCTCACATGAATAGCACTGTGTGCGTGAGTATGACAGAACGCTCAAATACCTTACTGATAGCGATAATTCAATTTTTGCACATTGTTTCGTAATCCACTTTACCGACACTGTTGTCTTTCTCATGTTTATCACTGACTTGAGCTCTGAAGGTCTTGAGTGTCAACCTGGACTCATCCAGAAACTGCAAAGGACACATTTACAGTCAAGTGATAAATCTAGGACACCCTATTGAATTTCATAGTTTTCTGTATCAGTATATAATAATAATAATAATAATAATAATAATAATAAACTGTATATGGTTTTAGATCTAAGTATAAGATCTTATTATTTGTAACATAAAAACTCAGATGAACAACATCGCAGCATGTCACAGTTTATTTAACAAAATTAAAGTCAAGAAAAAAAAGTAATGGGTGAAAAACTAGGTTCAGATGTCTGTAGACCTACTTTAGCAATAATTGCTTAAAGTGATCATTTCCGTATGAACTTATCAGTCTCTCAGATCATTCTGGAGGAGTTTTTGCTCAGCATTTCAGTTAGGGTGTGTGGACTTTGACTGGACTCTTGCAACACCTTGATCTGCTGGTGTGCTTGCGATCATCGTCTTGTTGCATGACCTAATTTTAGCTAAGCTTTGGCTTTGGGATGGCCAGTGTGTTAACACCTGAAGGCTCCAGACCAACAAACTGTTAAAACTTCTGTTGATGATCAGTTAAGGTGTTTTGATTAGCAGACTTTCTTTATTGAACCTATATGTGGTTGTTCATCTGATGTTTTATTTTCCAAGGTTTTTAAACTTGCCAATGATCAGATCATTTTTTTATCTCCTCATATTTAAATATTGAAATTTCATAGGGTGTCATAACTTTATAACACGACAGCACACTCAAAAATGATGTTTGCTGTTTGTTCAAACTAAGTTAAAGTTTAAAATGAGCTAAAACACAATTTATGAGGTTTTTTTAAGAAGAACTTAATTGTTTTATATGTTTAGTCCACTCAAATTTGTAAAAACTAATTAGTTAAAACCAATTGTGTGGAACCCAGTATTTTTTTGTGTATGCACTTTAAAACCTGTGAATACTGTCGGACAAAAATCACGTCCAAGAACTTAGTTAACATAATAACCTATTTACATTTAAAGATGGTGTTGCAAAAATGCTTGAGTCCTCCTTGATTTTTCCTGTTAAGTAGGCCTGTCACCATAATCGATATATTGACTTACACATGGACATGACCTTAATCATTTTTGGTGATGCAATATAAATCACCCGCCCATACAAAAAAACATTCTAGCAACATTTTTGCTGTTTACGCAGCCTCTGTATCTCAATTATAGTTGTCAGCATCAGTGTGGTGTAGAAAAACACTATAGTATTTACTATAAATGACTATAGTTTATTTTCATGTGGGTGCCTGATAACTGAAAATACATCTGGTAGCAGATATCACAGCCTGTTACTTTTTACCTTGCACTTTTTTTGTTAATATTTACTATTATTTATTTGTTTAGGATATACTTTTCACATTCTGATTACAATGTCTAATTATTAAATTGCTAAAATGACTATAAATAAATGAAATATTCTTAAGCATAAAATATTATGTGTTCTTTGGAAGAGTGTACTTGCATTATGATGCCATAATATTGTCATTCTGGCATTATATAAGTGGCATAAAATGGTCTGAAAATGACAATAATTTAATTTATTTCACTACATTTTAGTGCAATATATCGTACAACATGGCCTACTGTTGAGTACTTTTTTCTCTCATTCGTCAATTTATGTAGTAATTTTTTCACTACGCACATTATTTTGTTGGAACAGTTACAGTTTTACTGACTAATCTTATGTAAAACTAAAACCAGATTTGAATAAATCTCAGAAATATACCAGGTGTACTTTCATTTTAACATCTTAATATATTTTTTCATAAGTTCAAGAAATTATATCGAGTAGTCTAGGATCTGTATAAATTATAACAAATAAGCCAAATAACTATCTTTTGCATAGTTATTTATGCTTTGTATGACTGTATATTGAGTCTGACTTTAATTTAACCCTATTGTCTTTTAGTACAAGTGTCCTGAACTGAACCATGACAGACTTTTGAGTGTTTTATGTCAAAAAAGTGTTGCTCATTGAACTGAGCCCCAACAAAAGGCCTTAACAGGTGGATTAAACCTTGGTGTATAAAAGTACATTGTGTTCGTTATGACCTCGAAACAGCAACTGCTGAGAAAAAATGTCACATGCTTTTGTGAAAGGTACAACTCTCATGTTGAAATTCCATACTATGACAACACCAAGATGTTTTCAATTCCTTGCTTTCTGAATAAGTGCTGGACTAGCAAATTTGTCCACACATTCCACAACGCCTCCCACCCCTCAGCAGTTTGGACAGCAAAACAAATTCAGTCACCCGGCCTCAAGTAATGACTGAAGGGAAATGCATACATGTTCATTACTTTAAAAGGACTGCACAAGCACTCTCTGAAGCAATCAGATGAATGAATATGATGTCAACCAGCCCACTTCGACTTTTTTTTGCAGATTAGACTGTGAAACCAGGCATCGAGAATGTCTAAATACAGATGAAAAGCCACTGTTTCTACATTTAGAAATATATAAGCTATAGAAAAAGAAGAAATTTTACATTCGTATAGACAATTTCAATGTGGTGATTTCATCAGCCCATGAACATTTCTTGCTTATCAAATTATTTCATAACTGTAACAAGAGGCAATTCAATTATAACTTAATGTTAAAACGGCTATCATAGCATTATTTATTAATATAATGCTCTTTTTGGATTTTTCGAAGTTATAGAAATTAATAAATGTATAACAGGAAATACGTTGGGACTATTGTTTTTGTTTATATGTCTTAAGTTCCATAAATAAAGTTTATAAAAAAATATATATATATTAAAACTATCAAATCTAGCATAATATAACATCTGTATTATAATGTATAATAGATAATAAATTATTATTTTTAGTATTGCTATTTCACTGTCTATCAATCATGTCATCATAGCCCAAGAAGAAATACTGAGATAACACATCTATCAGGATTATTATATAATTATTAGAAATGCAAAATTATTTGTAAGCAATTGTTACATAAATCAACATTTAAATGTTACGTTAAAATATTAAGAAACAAAATAGAATATATACAAAAAAAAAAAAAAAACATGTATTCGGTCTAAATTGAAACCAAGGCATGGGGCCGTATGAGATTCTGACGGTATGACATCCTCTTTAGACAGTAAACAGTCCTGTACTGCTCTCTTTATTGATTTAGCTAAAGCTTTTGATTCTGTAGATCACAAGCTAATGTTGCAGAGACTAAGGCTTTAAGGTTTTAGTCAACCTGCTCTAAACTGGTTTGAAAATTACTTCTCAGAACGCACTCAATGCGTGTTGAAAATTAAAATTCGCCCTTTCTAAATGTCAACACTGAGGTTCCCCAAGGATCTGTTTTAGCTCCGTTGTTATTTTCTATTTATATTAACGATTTAGGTCATGGAATAGAATCAGCTAAAATACACCTGTATGCCGACGACACAATAATATATACAGCGGCACATTCCTTAAACAAAGCTGTACAGCATTTACAGATTGCTTTTCAAGAACTACAGTGTACGTTGCAGGACTTAAAATTGGTTTTGAATTTAAAAAAGACTAAATACATGATTTTTAGCCATGGCCGCACTAAGTTTACAGACCAGACAATTACAACTCTGAATGGTGTTCAAATGGAAAGAGTTAGCTTCTACAAATATCTAGGTATTTGGATTGATGAGAGATTAGCCTTTGATATACACATTGACAAGTAATTGAAAAAGCTTAGGCCAAAATTAGTTTTTTTTTTTTTTAATACAGATCAAAAAATCGTTTTCCTTATAAAGCCAGTAAAAAGTCAGTAGAGAGTACATTTCCGTCTATAATGGATTATGGTGATCATGTTAATATGCACGCAGCCGCTACTCTACTATGAAAACTAGATTCTGTTTATCATGCAGCAATACGCTTTGTCACAGGTGCAGACTCATGGATGCATCACTGTATTTTGTATGATTCATTAGACTGGTTATTTTTATATAAAAGGAGAAAATTACATCTGTACTTATTTATTTTAAAGGCTCTTTTAGGTAAATTACCATCCTATCTTTCTAATTTGTTAACATTTCACACAAATAACCAACACACAAGATCTGGTTCATGTATTTGTCTAACAGTCCCAAGGGTACTGTCAGAACTTGGCATACGTTTACGCTCTCAGGGCTTGGAATGACCTGCAAAATAGGCTCAATCTTGAAACACTTCCGACTCAGAGTACTTTTAAACATCTTTTATACAACATCTTAAAGGACACTTGTATTTGTTTTTTATGATCTGATGTTTTTACGAACGGTTATTTTGTAACTTTGTGGTATTGTTTTTGTGATTTTATGTGAAACATTATGTGCTGCCTGCCATCTTGACCAGGTCTCACTGGAAGAAGAGACGGTACTGTC